TGTCAGGCTGCCTCAGGGTAGCTGTGGCTACAACATAGCTTCCTACCATCAGTGTGAGAATGTGTGTATGAATGGCTGAATGACTGACATGTAGTGCAAGCTTTGGATTTTAGAGTCCTCTGACTTGATCAAGTGCTACACAAGTTCAGGCCATTTACATTTTTCTTTTTCTAAAGCACAATGTTTATCAACATTTATATTGAATTTTATGTTTGAGATGCAAGTAAAACAGTTCATTTGTTAAAATAATCCCTTTTTTTTTAAAGGTTTTGTTGGCTCTAGTGGCTTTTATCTGGTTTGACAGGAAGGAGGGGGAAGACATGCGGCAAATGTCGCCAGGCCGGGAATCGGGCCTGTGACCACCGGCATGGGGACTGGGGCCTCGGTGCGTGGGCTGTGCTTTGCCCCTGCACCACCACAGCACCCCAAAATAATAATTGAATAGGGATTAGGACAGACAGAGTAAGCAAGGTGTCGTTTGAGGCAAAAAAAAAAAAAAAGCAATTAATAAAAAATTCCTCAAATTGAGCAGAGCATCAAGTGGAAGGACCAGACGTTTTTCATGGTTAGGTACAGACCTATTCAGAAAGTAATTTTCACAACAAAAGTGCAGAAGTGTAAGGAATGAACATTTTGGTAACGGCTTAGAAAAATAAAATGTCAGGATGATATATGGCTGAATCAGAAGCAGTATAGCAACACGGAGCATTTTTGGGATGTATTGTCCAATGCTCCGTGGAGCTTTTGTGCAGCTCCTTGCCACTCAGTAAATCAATACTTGTATAACCCGACAGCCTGCAGGGCCTAGAGGGCCTAAATGGTAGCTTTATAGAGCAGCACTTTAAATGTTTCACCCAAACACCACAGGCATGACAAAGTCTGACAATGGCTTAGATTGGGTTTTCTCTAACTTTTCTTTGGAGAGCTGCAGCAAAACACTACAGGAGTCTTATTCATTTAACTCCAAGCCAACATCACATTATTATTGGAAGATGACAATAAGTCAGTGAATTTTGATCTGAAGAGAGCTGAAAGCTTTAAACCTTCACTCTGTTGCAGAAACAGAATACATTAAGGTAACGGGGACCAAAAATAAACTAATTTTAATATCCGACAATTTGGCTAAATACAAGACAGATTTTTCAAATGATCACATTTAGTAATGGATAAAGCTGTACGTTAAAATATGATTCCCCACTTTGTTCAATTCTGAATTTACGATGATGTACCACTCTTTCTGAAGAGTTTTGTTCACTTTCACAGGCTTTAGACTCAAGAAACCACTGAAATAGATGACAAATCAAAAAGCAACACATCATACCTTGACCTAAGGAGTTCAAAAATGCATTTAGACTTCACAATTTTACTCAAACAAAGCCAAAAACTTATGATAGAGATCATTTTTAGATGTAAATCAATAGCACAGTTAGCATCGCAAAGAGGGTATTTCCACATTCTGTACATATTCTGTGGAATAAAGAGTCTCAAAGCTTAAAAAAAAGCAGCAAAGAAACTTTGTGTAATCCAGCCAGTTTTTCTGTTACCCCTTGTTTCTAGTCCAAAATGTTAGAATTTTCTCCTCAGCTTTTAATTCTGTCACATTAACTCTGAAAAGAGTTTGGGTGGTCTAAAGTCGTCTAAATCTGTTGGCAATAACAACAGAATTTCTTCTGTTTTTTTTTTTTTTTGGTTTTGTCTCATCTAAGCCCAACTGCAGAGTCATTTGTATATTTCTTTACAGGAGAAAGAAATAAGCCCAACTGCAGAGTCATTTGTATATTTCTTTACAGGAGCTTGTATGTTGTGTTTTATTTCACTTTTGCTACATAAAATGAAAAAAGAGGATCATTGCCTTGGGAAAAGCTGGAGATGATCTTAGAAAAAATGATCACACGAGAGCGAAAATAGCCCCTTAACATTAGATCGTGATTAATGTATGTCGGATCCATCCAACATTAAATGGGTTTTTGTTTTATTAATTAAACTTCCTGGATTAGCTCATTAACATTTATTATTGCCAGTCATTTTTCATCTAAAGTTTAATCCAATACCCAGTGACTAAATAAATTACATGCTAATAATGTCCAAGGGAACTTAGAAAGAGGGAAAAAAAAAAAACTCAGTTTGTAGTTTAAAAAAAAGTTAGGAGTCATTGCATTTGTTTATGGATGTCAGTGCATCAGAGTTACAAAGAAACATGCAAAATACAACAGTTTTGATTGCAAAAAAAAAAAAATTTAAACTGCAATTGATTACATTAAAACATTTAATGTGTTAAAATTAATGTAACTAGTTGAAATTAACATGTTAAAGTCTGGGCCCTAATTTTTACTCAAGTGAAATGTCACCATTCAAGAAATTACTCAACAGTGGAAAACTATTTTTAAAAATGCTACTAAAGTATTAACTAAATATAACGTCTGATCAAATATATATGTCTGTTATATAGATAAATTGTAAAGTTATGTGCTAATCCTAGAATTTTAAAAGACTAGCATTAAAAAATACAACATAAATGCAAGAAAAAATATTTTTCCAAATAAATGTTCCTCAGTGTAAAATATATGTATGTAATACTTACAGTAGGTAATATTAAGCTAAAATATGTAGTATTTGGTGCATGTTAATTTGATTTCCAGCAGACAGAAAATAACAGAACACATTTTGCTCTTCATTCAGTGAAGTTGCATACAGTCAGTAGAATATCCAGAAATTAGCTCAAATCAGAGTACTGATCATTTACAATAACATTATTCAAGTGAAAGTATGGTCTAGTAAAACTACTCCTAGAAACAGTTTTTTTTTCCCCAAAAAAGTTACTGTAAATGTAACTAGCTACTTCGTACCTCAGAGAAAGCATTCTCCTGCGTCACAGCCTCCTCTGTCGTCTGTAGGGACACGTAGCTGGTCTCCCTCCCAGATTTTTACCAGGTTTGACTCTTCTCTCTTCAAAATTAGCACCTGAGATGAGAAAAGAGTAGAATTTTCAGGGCAATGTGGCTGGGAAAGGTGCTGGAAAAGGTTCTCAAAGCAGTAAAAGTACATTTCAGAGTTGAAGGCTTAACTTTGGCTCCATTTGCACAGAAACTACAGCACCATCTAGTGGCCTGGCATGACAACTACAGATACCTCGAGGCGTCTTGCCGTCAAAACGTCTTTGCAGGCAGCGGTTTGTGTAAACGTAGTTTGTGATTATATCAACCCACCTAAAGTATGAAAGTTGATACTTCTACATGTTTTAATCCGTATTTGCTGCGTTAGCGCTGTTTCCATGTAAAAACAAATACCGGTCCTGAAGATGCAGGAAGAATTAACGCACAGCATAATGGGTTGTAGGAATAAGGTGGATAACGCCTTGAAAAAAATCTTTTTTTTTAAATAAAACACTTTGTGATGAGAAAAAAATAAATATATATAATAAATAAGTTCTTATGTAGAAGCTGGTATGGATGAGAAAGCAACTAATGGGTACACGACAAGGATCAAAATATGCAAATTAACCTGGAGCTGTATCGGAGCATAACAGGAACAAAAACAGGAAATGTTTATATTCATAACAGAAGTTGACATTTCACAAAATATGCTTAATTTCTTCATGTTTGGACCAAGATAAAAGGCTTTTCAAGATATGCTTGGCATCATTAAAAACTGTGTGCTTCCAGCCTGACTCACATTTTTGTCACAACTGTGGCAGCCGTATTGACTTCAGCTGCATTTGTGTATATATATTTCTTTTGAAACCCACTTGAGTTCAAGTAGATGTGGAGGAAAAAAACAGAAGGAATGAACGTGTGCATTTAGATCGTCAAGATTATTTATTTAAAATAAATAAAAACACACATACATGTAGCTTGGTGTGAGAAATATGTAAAGTGAAATACAAACACGGAATCAGATTTAATTTGAAAGCAAATGTGCAGCACTGCACATGCAACTCTTTCCTTGCTCCCCACAGGCAGATCTGTTCACGGTTCTTCCTAATTATCGTGTTCACCATCACTCATCCGTTCCTTCACTTTGAAGTGCTGCTCTTGCTCTCCTCCAGATCACTCTTTTTCCCCTTCTTCACTTCTCCTCACTTCGTCGTCGCCACTGTCCCCCACTCAGCCAAGCATTTGGCGTACTTGACCTAGTTGCATTTGTGCTCATCACGCTGTAGTACAGTATACCCTGCAGGCAGCGGTAAACAAACCAGATGTTTATTTGTGGGAGCTAACACTGCTAGTGCTGGAACACAGATGGTGTTCTCCATCAGCAGGCTGAGGAGCAGATGGGATACAAGTTCAATAGTCTCGTTTTACCAGTGCTTTTCTTATTCGCTGCACATTTAACACCAGAGGCAGCAAAATGTCAAAATGTTGGTAGATGCTTTTCCCTTGACTGTGTAATTGTGTAAATTGCTAACAATTACACTCTTTGAGTAATTCTTATAGGACGGCGACTTCTGTGAAGGTTCAGATCTTTCAACGCTTCTCCTTTTGTGGAAAATAGCCCCAACGTTGGTTCACTGGGTTCCCAAAGGTTTTGGATTTTGCAACCTTTCACCAGACTGATGTCAGCGACTTTGTTTTGCAACTACAGTATTCTCAGATTTCTGTTTGTGGAACATGCTGTGTGTGAGCAAGTATTAAGTGTCACAAGCTGAGAGTTTTTTGGCATGGCGTTGATGGGACCTATGTCAAAGAAATTTAGGTATACAATAAAGGAACTTACATTGGTGTGTTTAACTTTAAGTCAAATATCTAACAGAAAACCTTGGTGGATCTGAATTTACAGATTTTTTTCTCTACACTGATGTTAGGTTTAATAACCAGAGGGACATTTCCTTGTGGACTATTGTCACAAATTTGCATCAAACCACTCCACAGCCAAAGTGGTGTATGAGTAGCACTAATGTCAGTTGTTTGGTTTTTACATGTTTGTTTTCTGATATGATTAAGTTTTTCCTTTTCAGTTCATTCATTTGTGCTTAGTTTCTTGTTCTTGGGTTCTAGTTGTGCATTTTAGTTAATTCTCTACTGTTAGACTAGTTTTAACCTCCCTTTGTGTTTTCAGTGGTAATCAGCCTCGTTCCCTCAGTTCCCCTGCTCAGTCATCTCTCGTAGATGTTTAACATTCCCCTGATTATTGATTACACGTCCTGTGCATTTAAGCTCACTGGTTTCCATAGTTCGCTACTGGTCTCTTCCGTTGTTTCTAGCCTGTAATTTCTCCTTAGTCCTAACCTGTGTTTTCGTTCTGCTTCAAACACACAACTTCCGACGTTTGATGCATATTCAGCACATACCAAGGATCAAGTTGGAAGTAATTAGCTGCCATCTAGTGGCTGAAATCCAATTATGCATTATTTAGCTAACTTGCATACCAAATACTAAATATGCATCTTCTGTACATTTTCCACTTAAGATTATAAAACAGAATTTCCTCATCTCTTTGCATAATTGTATATAAACCAAAGCAGAAGGGAGAAAACATAAGATTAAAATTTTTCCCCCTGTAACCCAAAATATATTTTTGTCCTAATTTTTTTTTTGTAACCTTTTCATTTGGTGCCAGGAATGAACACAGACAGTCACCTTACCTCTAGCTGATGTTCTGAGCAAACCCAAAATGACATAACACTGCTGACATTTCCCTGAGGTACCAGGTGGTGGACACAGTCAGTGTTTTAACTAGGCGTCTGGACCGCCTGACCTCTTGTACGCCTTTCGGTTTGTGTCCTGCGGAATCACTACCACCGCCGCCCGAGTCAGCACTTGTGCTAAAGGGAAGAGGTTAATAACTCTCCTCTCACCATCGCATGTTTACACAACACAGACATGTGTTGAAAGGCCCCCGTTGAGCCACCTGAAGGGCACGATGTAATACAGCTTGACTGACAGATGGCATTTGGAAGGGCCACCCAGGGAGGGCAGGGGGAGGATATGTGCAGCGGTCAGCGTAAAGGACGGGAGGCGATGAATCACAAAACACACGCCGCTAACAACGCTGACACAAACACACCGAGACATGTGGCGGCATGCTAATGCTCATATTTAATAAGTCAACAATTAGCAACATTTTAGCTCCACGCTCTTACCGCCAGTGCCCTAATGAGAAGTTTTTTTAGAAGATAATTGAAGACTTCACATGAGGACACGACAAGTGTGACTAAGCATGTCTGAGTGCATGGTTTTCATTGAACTGGAAGCAAGTCCGTCTGAGACTGGCGACTTCTTTGCAATAGTTTAATTAAGAAAATGTAACAAACTTTTTAATATGCAGCACTAATCGGCAACGCCGAGGGGGAGCCGAATCAAGAAACCATTCACGCGCGATTAGCGCCATCTAAGTGTGAGCAGATCGCACGAGAAACGAACAGATAAGGCTCAACTTAACCCCTCATCTCACTGCTTATTAATGTGATTACCCAACTTGTTCTGCAAACGTTGGTGTCCCTTCATATATTTGCAAGACAGCTGGCAAAATATGTGGATAATTTGTTGCTGGATACAACAGTGAATTTATTTATTTATTTTTTAGCAAATTCTTTGGAAAACAGCTCATGCTCAGTCAAACTGGCTGAAGAAAGAAATTATCACCCATTTTCAAGTCAAATGCAACTTGCAACATGTAACTTAAATTGGCAGGTTTGATTCCAGCTGGATTTCATGAAGCGGCAATTAGGTGCAGCACTTAGAGGAGCACCAGATGATTCCATCATTGCAAACGGTAAGCTTCAGGTAACAACGACCTTAAAACTCACCTTGTGTCAGTCGGTTCCTGGTCGATCACCTCTTCCTGGTTCCAATTCCTCGTCACCTCCTGCATCTCTGACGGTCCCTCTGGATTCCTTCCTCCAGTTTCCTCCTGGGAATGTGTAAACGATAACCGTTTGGGTTCAGTTTTAACATCTGCTCAGTCTAAAGTGACAAAACCACAATGGCGTATCAGGGCCATTGCATATAGAAAAGAAGAGGAGTAAAGTTCTGCAAAACACTTTTAGATTAATCTCAGAAACTGTAGAAAAACAAGAAATTTTCTTGAGCTTCAAAAGTCAAAGACTTGTGAGAAAAAAAAATGGATAAGCTTTGAGATCGCAGAAATTTTCTAATAAAGAAAAAAGACTGAGTTTCAGAGCTTGAAAAATTTCGACTTAAAGAGTAAAAAAAAAGTTTAAAAATGTTACTTTTGAAACTCAAAAATTATTTTTTTCTCAAAATTTCTGAGATTCATCTCAAAATTTAAGTATTTTCTAGCAAATGGTCACCTTTTCAAGCTCTGAGTTTTTTTTATTGGGAATTTACTCCTTCCTGCTTCTATCTACAACGGCCCTAATATGTCATCATACAAAACTCAAACTTATATGTAAATCCATTCCAGCAATGACATTTATAAAGCTTTTATTGCAAAACCTTGTTAGAAAAATTCCTGTCTACATAAGCCTTTAAAATGCTTTGTAAACAAAGTGTACATGTAATCTTTATGGACAGAAATCTGCAAAAGTGGTTTTCAATTTTGAGTCATCACCTGATTTGATAACATAAATGATGACAGAAAAAAGAAGGCATCTTCTATGAGACATTCAAGCTTTAAAATAATAGAAGTATTGCATTTGGAACAGAAACAAAAAAAGACATAATTGTGACTAGCAAAAAAATAAAAACAGAATGATTCATACATAAGGCCTTAAGCCCACCAGAAACTAATTCTGCCTAATCTGGCCCACACACATGCGAGGGAAGAAAACAGCCTAATGACTTTCCAAAGTAAAGACGGTGTGCGAGGAGAAAGGTGGGACAGAGACGAGACAGACTGTGGCCGAGATCTGAGGGAAATCTGTAAGGTGGAAGGATGTGATAAGGAAAAGAGGACAGACGGACTGACCACAGTGACTGGATATCAGTTTTAGGAGCGTGCAGGAGGAGCTCAGGGAGATTGTAACGTGAATTCACCATCAGCCTCTCAACTTCCATAAACACCTGCCAGGGCGCCAACACGGTTTTGGAAAGAAAAGACATGCTTGATGTCGATGTTAGCAAAAAGAATACTTGAGACACAGAAGATGTCATTTGGTAACTTTTTAGATATTCATAAATATTTTTTCAATCAAGTTTAAACATCTAACAATTTGCTAAAGTCCAAGTTGTAAACCTAAAAGAAATGGGTGGAGGTAAACATTACTGGATTGGACGTCACGTGACTCATCGGGCTCAACTTATGCACCATTGCATTGAGTCATATGAACTGTGTGATGCTGTGATAGCTCTGGTGAAGCCAAGAATAAGTACATTGTCCAAAAAAAAACAAAAACAAAGCAAGCAAAAAAAACAAAAAAAAAAAACCATCTTTCTACCACTTCCTATGATTATCTTTGTGGTTTGCACCAGTAGTAACATACAGATATTGATCCCGCGACGTGTGATCTGAAAAAATAAATAAAAATTTCCATTACAGTTTTTTTACTACGGCTGAAAAACTCATACTAATGACCAAAAAAAAAAAAGAAAAAAAAGAGTTTTTTTCAAAATTGGAGCGTCTCCGTTCAGCAAATTTATTCTTGTAGCTTCAATTTGCACAATTTTATGGTTCATGGAAACCCAGCTTGTGTTCTTGTAATCTGCTTGACAGATCAATTTGAGGTGCTAATCTTTTTAAGAAGGCTTTATGGATTAGATATCCATACAGGTTCTGCCATGTGAAATGTGTGGAATCCTACTGGGACTTTGGCCAAACAGAAATAGTTAAAATTTTACTTGAATCTCTAAAAATCTATTTTCCAAACCAGAACAAATGTTCTTTTCATTAACTCTTCAGAACACCACCGAAAAAAAAAAAAAAAAAAACAGGCAGAAGCATCTTGACGCTTCAATTTGTGTCAAGATTTTTTTTAATTAATGTTAAAAATATGGGCATGAAAAATGATGAAATGAGCTTAAAATGTTACCTTTGATTCCTACAGCCAATTAGTGTAGTTTTTCAGCAGGAAGCAGAGTTGGGACCCTCAGATGATGTTATGCATAATATATTGGGAATAAAATGTGTCAGCTCTGAACTGCTTTGATGTGTCTTTACGTTCAGTCTGAGCCACGATGCAGAAAAAAAAAATCAAGATCTTATGTAGACGCCAGTTTTAATATCTTAAACTGGTTTAATATGATTTTTCTCAAACGGCGTTCAACTACAACACACAACTAAACAGTTGAGCACTATAGTAAAATGGTTTACTAGCAAATGTTGCTAAAATAATTTAAATTTTCCCTAAACATATTATGTATCCTTTGAAGATTTGTGAGAAGTTGATGCACTTTTATCACCGCAACTCTAGACTTATCTTCCCAATCGCCCAGATTCGTAGACTATAAAGAGAAAATTACAAATTTATGATCATATTGGAGCTAAAAAATGATTGTTTATATAATTATTTTTATTTCTAAAAAACAAGAAAAAGGAGGGCGCATGCGCCAACGTGTATGCAGCCTGTTGCAGTTGCTCCTGCTCGTAGTAATCGATTTCTTTGACCGTTGCAAATAAATTTATTTACCAATTATTAATATTCAATTTATTTAGTCAAGTTTAAATTACATATCACACATATATATTTTTCATAATTTTAATATTGCTCAGATTAGCAAATATTACTAATTTTTAACACCTTGGACGGAATAGCTTGTCAACAAATAAGCAGTTTCCCCCTAGGACAGAAATAAATTCCATTTTGACTCATTCTGCTCAGATTATATTGAATTTGTTAGTTTTGTCAAAAACTAATTACAAAAACCACATCAAATTATAATCAGGCCTTGTTACGCCACCGCCGTTCAACAGAAGCTCGTTTTAAGAAATCCTGACCCATCTCTGTCATATTTCAAATGTAAAAAAAAAGGGCAGCCAGGAGACGGTTGTTCCTGCGGCTGGATTCTGACGGATGATAATCTGAAGGACGGTTACATGCTGGAGGGCCGTGAGAATCGGTTCCGCCTTCAGCGTATTGTTGCGTCTCTTCTCCTCTGTGTTTCAGTCGCGTGCTTCACGAAACCTTCATATTGCCTCCACTTACAAAGCGCTTGTCGACACAAACACAGGCAAATGAAGAAAGGATGGAACTTAAACCTTAAATTGTTGAGATTTTGCTTTTGTGAATTAAGATTTTTTTTTTTGAAAATGTAAAATTAAATCAATTTGTGGGAGAAGAAAAACCAAAACATTCCACTTAACAGGTCACATTACCACATATTTAAGTGGGTGATGTATAATCGATGACACTGTTGGAAACCCGACAAGTGAACCGATACGACAGATCAGAGCCATATAGAGAGACATACAGACATATCAGAGAAATATGTGATGGGTATCGATTTAAATCAGGGTCAGAGGAGAATATGAGACGGGAACAGACAGACGTTCTTCAGCTGGGAGCCATGGGTAATCCTGAAGGGGAAGTGGGGACGACTTCCCACAGTACGGTACGTTCGCATGTTTCTTACATAAGCAACACTTTGGAAGAAGGATTTCTGCATCATGGCTTTGCAATGTGTGTGTGGCAGGAGCTCCGGCCAGATTAGGTTAATCAAAAACATGGACATTTTATTGCTTTTGTAAATTTTCTAGGCTTTAAAACCAATTTCAAAAATTGAAATCTTGATGGAAAATATTTAATTGTTTCAAGAAAAATATAGAAATGTTAAGAGGGGAAAAAAACTGTTTTGTGATTGAAATGAAAATGTTTCGAATAAAGTGGAGGTAATTATTTTTGAAGACGAAATGCTGAAACTGTGGTGTTCTTCCCAAGCAGTGTGCGTCTATCTATTATGCTAAAGGAGAAAACATATATATTTGCTGTAAACACTCGTCACGCCTAATCACATTCCTCTAGGGGGCGCTGAGGTGTATTATGCACCATATCACAACACAAAGTTGCTGTGAACTTCAACTCGATGTCAGAGTTGCTGTAGTTCATCCATTTTCCCCTCTGTGCACCAGCCAGGTTCGTTTACCAGTTTCAGGACCCAACTAACAATACTTTGAGAAAAAATGAGATCTGGTTAAATATAAAACAGGTTTAATGCCAAAAATGATAAAATGTTACACATCATCCAAATGTAACAGATACAGAGTGACGTTCACTGTCCAGCACTGGGCTCCACTCAGCTCACCTTAGGGTGAAACCAAGTGAGGCAAAGATTGTAGCTCAAGTTCAGCTTTATTTTCTCCTCATTCTGCTCCCTCTCTAAGGTGTTGGCCTTAGTTTATATGTGTGACTGTCATCAGTCTTAAATGTTACGGTTATGTCAGCATGCAGCCATGTGAGCAGATAAAACGGATAGAGAAAAGACAAAGAGTCCTTTTGTCCATAACAGTGAGTGGAACTCCTGATCAATTTCTTGTGACTTTATAGACAAGAAATGTTACAAGAGTCAAAGTTTCTTTTATGAAGGACATTTTAGTTCCATTAGTCTTTGTTTTTCACAATGTAGCATCAGGTTTTTTTTCTATTTTTTGTATTTGTTTGTCCTTAGCTTGATGTTTGTTAGCCCGTTAGCTCCTCTTTACACCAAGCAAACTTTTAGCCACATAAAACAGTTTTTTTTCCCCCCTCAATTGGCGCAACTACATACGACGTCGCGGTAAGTTTTTTAATGACTTATTTCATGAATCAACTTATTCACAGAAAATTTTAATTGTTTCTTATTTAAAGGAAACAACGTAATTGCAAAATTGCGTTGTTTCCTGACATTAACAGAATATCAACAAAGTTTTTCACACTTTTGTAATGGAAACGCAGTTTGTGTTTGCTTATCAATTTGAGCACAAAAACAATGTAAAACTACAGCTGCAACAGAGCCGGTAGAACTGCTCTTATAAAGTAACATGAGACCAGATAAAATTTTGCCTCTCCTTAGGCAGTAATCTGAGTCAGCCGCTGATTCAGATTGGAATAGAGGGCTGGGAATCCGGCCAAATCAATATTTATGGGAGACGAACAATCAGACACAGACAGCAGGTTTTCTTAAAATATGTTTCCAGAAACCATTATTTGCATAAAACACAAACAGGGTACAGTTTGAATGTTAAATGTAACTGAAAATGAATCCTCAATGTCTCAAGTCTGATCAGTCAGAGGTAAGTGTCACAAGCACACCCAAAAGGAAAGATTTGAAATTATTATTCCTGTGACCTTTTTAAGTACATTTTATATTTCATTTTCTCCATTTGGGTTCAAACTTCCATGATGAATGTAAATGAGCCGAGGGGAAACCGATATGTGATGATTTTCAGACTTCATAGAAATTTAACAGGTCATTTGGGAGCACTGGCTAGTTCCTGGAAACTGCACATACCAGTAGCCTCAGGCTCCCCAGGTAGTGACGATTGGGTTAATCTTTGGTTTTATTTTTAAGCTAAAATAACCAACAATATCAATTCAAAAGTAAACAAAAGGAAGAAAGGTTGTAATTTGGTTCGATTTCTTGACTGACACACAGTATAATCTTACAGTAAGCAGGGGGCCTGAGTCGTGGAAAGGAATTAATTTCCTCACACATGCAGGCAGAAATATGCAAGTGCAGTGAGTCACAGTGAGCGGATGAGTCAAAATTCTCACAACAGGAAGTGTAAATGCCGAGCAGTCACCATCTAAGCCGTTATTAATTCTGGAGCACGCCGCCGCCAGCTTTCCACTCACCTGTCATCTGATCAACAGCTCCTCACAAGACTGTGAGGGATTTACACCCAACGGTTCAAGGTTAGAAGAAGCGGGCAACATTTCTTTCAGATACACACTTTCTGAAGCGTTTAGTGTCGTTCAATGAAACAATGAAGAATTTTGACTGTTGCTTGTGAGGTCTATGCATAAAAGCCCTGAAAAGGAGAATAATTGAGTAAATGAGCCACAGATGTGTTCTTTTCTCCAGCATGCATTGGCTGAGTTATTGTAACTTATACAGACACACTGCATGTTATCGTTTACATCCATCACCGCGTTACTGACATAGAGCAATCCCGCTAACAAATGAAACCTGTAGCTGTAGGTATTAAAAAGTTAGCGCAGTACGACAATGAACTGACTCAATGAGCTGACACAAGTAATTAAACAACAGTTGGTACTGAACGTCATTGTAACTACGCAACTATGCCGTTTGAGCTTAGTGTTCTGGGTTTGATGAAAGACATTACATCAAACATTTAACATTTTATTTTTCTTAAAGTGATAAGGACAAGTGGTTTACCCAGGGGAGAAAGCACAGGCCAGCAACTGGCTTTCTCAAAGAGCGTCTACGCAACATAAGGAGGAGGCAAAGTCCTTGGAAGAAGACGCTTTCAGCACGGGTGGAAGCTGAATCAAAAAGATTAATTTTGCCTGGTACTAGCACATAGACTTGTTTCTAAACCCTTTTGTTTTGAGCAGCAATCTTAGCTCTTATAATTTCTGTAAGTGACATTACATTGTTGGTTTTAATTTTCAACCATGTTGATGGCTGTTTCAAAGCTTTTTTTGTTTTTGATGTAAAATATCCTAAATCATGTGTCCAGGTTTGGGACTTTCTTCAAACTGTCATCTATGAAATCCCAGGAAATTAATCGTGTCTAATAAAATTACTGAGGGCCCAGTTATCTGCAATGGAAGGGTGAATGCTGTTCATAAACAATCCTTTAACCTTCTGACTTCAAAGTCTTTCCTGTTACCATTTTACTAAAGTACTGATTTAGTTACTTGTTAAATGGCAGAATTTTTTAGTATGCTTCCTGTCAAACTGTTTAGATGACATTATTTCATCTGTATAAGAAATAATACATCAAGTTCCAATCAGTACTCTAAGTACTGCTATAGATACTTGTTAAATTATTTTTTTTTACATGTTTACAAATGGATTGAAGCAAGGGAGCTGTTTTAATCAATTGTATAATTTTTTGACTTTTACATGTCTGCTTTAAAACTTCCACATGTTTTGTTGACAACTTGTGACAACAGCTAAAACCAAAATCTGCTCACAGTGAGCAGTTTTTTTTTTGCCAATGTTTGCCATGTTGCAACGTGTCTACATACATTTAACAATGAAACTTTAAACGACAGCATGGTTTCCTAATGAACCAAATTACACAAATATTACAGTAACCAATAACTTATCTTGTGTGCAAAGGTTGCCCTGCAGCTGGAATACACAGTACAATGCTACATTCACCAACAAGGGTTAGCATTGTCTGCTACGGCTAACTGGCTAAACTTCATCTATTAACAAGAATAACGTATGTAAATATCAATAACAAAATGTATTCAAGAACCTTGTAATAGTTACAACATTACGGATAAGTTTTTGTGTGAACTCATACCTGAAAAGGGGAATAATTGAAGTAAGGAGCCACGGACACGTTCGTTCTTCTGCTGCAATGTGAACTGACTGGGGAAGAAGAAGTCCCATGCTAGCTCACAGCCATATGTCATCTTTCAATTACAGGTAAGGGAACTATTACAAATCATAAAAAAAATTAAACTAACCTTTTAGGGTGTGCTGCTCCAGGTCCTGTTGGAATTTGCTCTAAGTGGAAAATGTGTTTTAGAAATATGCTGTCATATCTGCCAGGCTGTTTGCAGATTGTGTGCTTCAGTGTGCAGCTCTCACGTGCTTCTCTCCTGCAGGCTTCCTGTCAGGCTTGTTACCCACAGGTGCAGCACATCAGACTGATTAGATGACTGGCATAAAAGGAGCGTCAGAGCCTGGAGAAGGCTTCGGTTTGTTCTTAGACAGAGCGGTAAACTGGCTCCCTGTGGCTCTTCTTTTCGTTGTTAACTTTTGACTTTTGCATATGCCTTCCTCAGGTCAGCTCTGCAGCATTATCTCCTCCAAAATATTAATAATGTGTTATCATGACACAAGACATGTCTATTTTTTGAATATGTACAAAAATATATAGCATAAAGCATGTCAGAACTCTTATTTTACATATGCCTATCAAAATCCCCATCCCTTAACTGTCTACGCAATCTTACATTTATTACATGTATAATCTGTACAGATAACTAAACATGCATAGTTAAAGGTGCAGAATATAACTGTTATAAAAAAAATATTTTTGACTGTGCCATGATAGTATGGTATATTATCTGTGCAAAAAAACAAAAAAAAAAAGGGAAATTACGCTGCTCGTCGCCCTTTGCTAGCAGAGCCTGTGTGCTCAGGCTAGTTAGCAAAGCTACTGGTGACGGCAGATAAATGTTTTTCTGTAACAGCAGCTCCAGGAGGAGAAAATCTGCCATACTCCAGGCATCGTGCCAGTCATTTTAAGAATGCTTATTGATCCCCCGAAAAAACGGCAAAGACCCGGGCATTATCATCAATCAATAAAATCCTCCCAGGCCGAACTTGAAAAGTGGACGTTATGATGCTAACGCTTAGCTTTCGTCAACAACTCATAGGCAGAAGTGAAAGCGCTGCGCAACACAAGTAATAACCCGGCCAGAACACGGTGCACTAAATATAAATTTAGGCATTTAAATTTTCCTCCAGGAATTTTAATAATCTAGGTACTCAAATCATTCGAGGAATCGTTTCAGCCCTAGTGCCGGAGTTAACTTCAACCGAATTGAGACCTGCCAGAGGTTGTTTCTTGGTCCATATCAGAGTTCAATTGCACATTCATACCTCCCCAAATGAACCAGACTTTCTCGGCAAACGGACCGGAGTTCCATTAAAGCATACTAAACAGGGCTGGTGTGAATGTGCCCTAAGTTAGTGTTATATCTTCCTCTTTGCTGACCATGTCTATCGCAGTGAGTTCTTTGTGGAGATGTTCACTTTAGAGTGATCTGGAATAGCTTTGAAAGCCCACCAACTTCAACAAAGCTGTGCTGGACGTTATTTTATAAAACCATAATTTAGCATAAAAACCCAACATAATGAAATGTCTTTTCATTCTCTCCTGCTGTTCTGGCAGACAGAGCGTGCCCAGAGACTGTCAGGAAGCTGTCAGTCAAACAAATGGAAGACTGTGTTGTTTGCATGAGAGAGTAAATAAGATTGTCTGCACAATGGAACGTGTTCTCGTGCAGCTCCACTGCGGACACATTCAACAAAATCTCGTCCAGCTTGATGTTGCGTTCGGCTGCCATGGAAACAGCCGTACTTGCTCCGACTCATGACTGATATTGATGCCCTGAGATTGACTGCTAAATGGGCTGCAGCATGGAAACAGAAGAAAGCAAACTGGAGTCTGTTCTCAGTGACCAGCACAAAGGTCACTCGCCTCACTGAATGTGAGTTCATCTAGCTGTGTGAGAAACGGATAACATTTTGAAACATTTAACTTCTATTAGGAGACTGCAAATACAGACGTAGATAGATTCTGCATAGATTTAGATTCTAAGTTAGAGATGAGGAATGTAAAACTTTCGTCCCAGGTAAAGAACACTGGGCTGGTTTGAAGTCAGTCGCTGATTTGTGCAAATCTGTGCTCCGTGCTACACAGGACACTGAAATTACAATCATCACTTTGGGAACATTTCTCCTAACGAAGTGATCCGATGTCTGCAAGACGCTCTGAAGGACTGGACTCTCATCTCGCTTTGCTCCAGTTGGGTAAAATTCCTGCTGTGTTTCAGCTGCATCAAACAGGTCAGCGATAATACTGAGAATTTTATTTTATTTTTATTTTTTTATGATTTAGTTAAAGGCAAAGCTGAGGTAATTCTTTTCCTCACTGACGTACAGAGGAACTAGATGTGACAACAGAATGAAAAAGTGGTTCAGTATCGCTGTCAGGGTTTTGAGACTTCACTCTTTGGAGTGAAGTCTCAAAAGAGTGAGACTTCAAAATAAGAGTTTTAAATGTATACATAACGGGGTGGAGAGCTTAAAAGTTGAATTTATGTCCTACGTCACTTACTGTCTGTACCAAGTCATACGATGCTCTTGCCAAGACAGCTCACTTTGTGTGCAAATACTACGGTGTTTTAAAACTGCAAGAACTACTACTACTACTACCCTACTGTTTATTTCATGGAAACTTAAGGGACAAGTTACTCGTGAATCTAGACATGTTTTCACATCTCAAACAAGCCCTGTCAACGGATATCTGTATTTACAATCTCCACCAGCTCTCCTTTAGAGACTACAGCTACCATCAGGAGCCATCCTCTCTGCTGCCAGAAAGAGTCCAGCTGAATACAAATGGAGGAGAGTAAAAGGTCTTGAAAGGTCAGCGCTCCTATTAAAAGTTCTGAGGTGTACAGATGATGCCATTTGATGTATCCACTCTCTCTGCAGCGCAGACCTGCGGATTGACCAGAAGTTTCATCCGTAAAGATCTGATTGCCAGACACCAACTATACACCCGAGAAAATTATTGTTTCTTTTTGAAGCCAGCTCTTCTCACTCTGTGCCCCTACGTGGCATTTCAGTTTCGGGCAGCTGTTGAATTAATTTTGGAAACTAAGAAATTGGACAAAGAGTCGACCAAATATCAACTGAATGATGGCGTACTGGGCAAACCTTACAGCTTGTGTTTTCCAAGGTCCTCTGCTCCTTTTCATGTCTTTAATATAGTTATAAGATGCAACATACATTTTCATATACACATTTTTATTTTTGTATAAAAGACAATTACCCCCAATACTGACATAATGCAAGTAAACTTTTGAATTCAAAAGTCTCTAAAAAATATTTAAAAAAAATAAAATAAAATTTCCCTGTAAGTTTTCTGGCATTTAGCAAATGGAAATAATTTCAGCTTACCTACAAGAAAAAGTTTAGTTTGCTTAAACAGTGAGGAAAACAAAGTCTTTATGTGGGTTATGTAAGTACCTGGTTTCAACTCCAGCATAATATTGCCAGACTGAGTTACAGATATTTTATCATTTGGATCTTGCATTTTCAAACAGGTCTCTGGAAATGTTGATGGAGGATATGGAGAAAGAGCCTCGCAGGAGACCTGAAGGCACAACGACAGATCAGCCCTGATGGTGTTCAAAGTGAAGACTGGCTTGTTGTCATGTATGACCAGAACTGGTGGCTCGCTAGATGTTCAAGTTGATTTTTTTTTTCATCCACATGGACCGACTGTTAGTTTCCAGCAAAAACAAAGACGTCAGGATATCTGCTTTGTGCTATTCTCAAATATTCTGGTTAGACTGAAGAAAGGATCATCACCAGTCTGCACAAGTAGCACCAGGGGCATATACCTCTTATCTGCAGCAGTGATGGATTTCATTGAAGGAGAACATGTAACAAATGAAGAAACATGTCTACCAAAAACCCTGGATGACTCGGGAGGTCCAGCTGCTGCTAAAGGCTGGGAATTTCATCTTATTGTCTGGGGACGAGGCTGCCTAGAGCATGACCCAAACAAACCTGAAGAGAGGTATCAAAAAGGCAAAAACTGACAACAGGAAATCATCTGAAGAACGTCTAATACCAGGCAGGTTTGGCAAGGAATCTGGCGAAGCCGCGTTGGCAGAGGAGCGGAACATCTTCTTTGCCCATTTTGAGGAACAGCCAGCAATGGGAGCTAAACGTCATCGAATGACCCACAAGACCACAACCCTTCGTATTAGAAGAGCATGAGGTGAGGTGTATATTGTAGGTGGTGGACCCGAGAAAGGCTACTGTCTCAAACGGCATCCTGGTATGCATCCTGAAAGAGTGTGCTGACTGGCTGGAGTCTTCACCAACATTTTCAACCAGTCACTTGCCCTGGGAGCTGTTCCATCCACCAAGTCCCTCAACCCAAGAAACCAAACATCATAGGCAAGTGCCACTCACCCCTGTTGTGTTAAAGTGTTCTGAGAAACTGGACAGGGTCACATTACAGTACTTCTCCCCAATGACTTTGACCCTACCAGTTTTCCTAAAAAGCTTTCAGGTCTACGGAGGATCCTTTTTTCCCCTGGAGATTCAGAATATTTTCCCCAAAAATAGAAAGATTTGTAACATGTTGTTTTGTTTTTATTTAACTTACATGTGATTATGAAACCAATTGATTTTCAAACTTCATCCAAAATGTTTTATCCTCAAATTCTGCATTCTAATATTTTAAGTCATTAACATCTATTTTTATGCGCCATGTAAGATTTTGTCTTTGGGCCAACTAAAGATGTTGGCTTACTGTAAAGGACAGTATTTGATTTTTTTTACTTTTTAATAAGTCCAACTCTTTTTTGCTGCTGTTGTGACTTTGCTTCTCTGTAAAACACAAACCAACCTTCTTTAACAGCCTTAAAACAACTTAAAAAGTTAACTTTGAGTCTTGTTTTTGTGTTCATTCCCCATCTGATGCACCAATTATTACCCAAAAGAAAAATCCTGACTCCATCTCTTGACACACTCTGGTTATTGTATAAACAGCCAGATTATTCTCACCATCTCTCCTGCAAATGTATCTTAATGGTACCGCAGCAGCGGCCATTAATGAAGACCAGACAGGAAGGTTCCTGACAACAGCCAGATGTGTACTGTAATGAGTGAGGATGTGTATGTTGGGGCGTACTGTAACAAGTCTCTGTAGAGTGGAGAAGCTGGTTTCTCTCCGTACATCATTAGGACCCTTTTAGGGTTTGAAATGAGGAAGCATGGGATGAATGAGAGCAGAGTAAAGAAAACAGAGTGGAAGGAGAAAATGTTTCTTCACAGAACTTTCCAGAAAGTGTTCCTCCGAACTGTGGCTAGCAGTTTGTTTTCTCACCTGTGGCTCATAGACTTCAGCCACAATCCATCACAGGGAGAGACAGGAGGGTATTTTCGCAGAACATTTTCTGAGCTGATGTCTGGAAATAAATGCAGGGTTGAAGACTTAAAGACAACCCCCAGTCTATTTTACTGACATTTTCATTTAGTTTCTACTGTAGGTTCCTTTGGCAGCGCTGAACATTGTGCTTG